GACTTAAGGGAAATCAAGGAGTCTGCCTGAGTTAACTAAACTTTCAGACTCACAAGACTGTCATCAAACCATTGTTGGTGTCAGTCTCCTCAGGAGGATAAAAACAAGAAAACAGTTTGCCAACAGGACAGCATCTTCTTGGATGAGTCTTGCAGCAGTTAACAAAGAAGCACAGCTCAGACAGAGAAAGGATATACCTCACATAGAAGACTTATCTTCCCTCCCAGTCAGTTTTAATCTGCAAGGCTTCCAGAACGCCACAGCACACATGCCAATTGCCAAGCCTTATCACACTCAAGGAGCTATGGCTTACTCCAAGTATTTATAGTTCTCCTGTTTGGATGTAACTTGCCAATCAAGAGTCATACTTACCATACGTATACTGTCTAGAAACATAGCTGACATTACTACCTTTATCTGTTTCCCAGGATAAGAGCTAGCAAGTTAACTAAAGATCAAATTCTTATACTAAAGAGGCTTTTGTTAACCCTTCACCAATATAACACATTAACATATCATACATTCTTTTAATTACCCAATTTTGATTTTAAAAATTCAGAGAAAAATAAACTTTGCTACTTAAAATATAGTTTTAAATTATTTCTGGAGATTGATTATATCATGAGAGATTTATTTACATTTTTATTCATTCAAAATGAATGAATAGTAAGCACTGAAAACACTGTGATGAACAAGACAGAAACGATCCCCTCTCCTTACAGGATTTAAAAATTTTCAGGAGATATAAAAAAAAGAATAGTCAATAACAATATAGTAAAAAAAAAAAAAAAAAACCCTCAATAGAGAAAGTACAGAGTGATAATCACATTGAAGGACGATGAATACAGATGTGTGACACAAGGAACGGCATTATTCCCATCGAAGAAATAGGTGAAAAACATGCCAATATTCAGTTGTTTATATATATTTCAAATATTTTATTTTTTCTTAAGTGTAATATTATATTTAAGATATTTACATCACCTGGATGTTAAAATCATGTTAATTATGATCATTCCATTTTGAGGTGCATTTACTCACCATCCTTTAATTTCCATCTTATGGGTTGGGCTTTAGGAAAAAAAAGTGTTCACCTCTGCCCCTTCAAGGTTCTCTAAGGGCTGCCTGCCCACAGAGGGATGTATTCCAATCTAGATATCCATTAAGAAGTTCTACTGGATATCCCCTGCCCTTACAAAGGTAAATACCTATAATTTTTTTTTCGGGGGGGGTGGGGGGCGGGAATCATACAAAACAAGGTTCAATTCAAGGAAATATCGGGAAGCTGAATTTGTCTAAACATTCATGCCAGTCACCAAATCTGATTGTATCAATAATAAAACTGATATTTTGATTTCTACCTAATATCTATTTCTCACTTGGTCCAGAATTCAGAAAGTGAAGAAAAAGATATTATATATTGAACTGCAGCATTTAATTACTCTAAAATTAGGCGAACATTTATCATTTCACTCTTATTTACATACTGTCATGGGTCAGGTTCTCCAGGAAACAAATCCTGAGATTTGCCTGCTTGACTTTTACTTGGGAGTACCCTGAGAAGAACACCTGTGGACGAGTGAAGACAGGAGAATTGGTAAAGAGAAAGTCTGAATTCAATGCAATTGCCAATCCCAAGGGCAACAACTGATGGGCCATCAGTTGTTGTTAACTGAGGCAAGTGGATGGCTGGCAATTCACCAGAAATTGAACCAGGAAATGAGCTGCTTCTTGGAACAGAGTGTAAGCTCAGAAGTGGCAGTTCTCTTTGAGCACAGACAATTCCTGGGAAGAGACTCAACTATGGTTCTTCCACAGGCAACACTGCAGGCAGCTAGGGAAGTGAGTATCTCAGTCCTGAAGAGGAGGATCTGGGTGGCACACTGTAGTATCTACGATATGAGTATGCACAGCAGAGAAAACGGCCCATGTTAAGATTATCAAAGTAAATAACCATGATATTATCCAAAATGACTAGCTATGAAACAAATATACTATATTAGAGGACTGATTGGTAGTTGCGAGAGGCTAGGTAGGGGTGGACAAAATGGGTGAAGAGAGCTAAAGCGTACAAACTTCCAGTTAATAAAATAAATAAGTCATGGGGATGTAATGTATGGCATGGTGACTGTAGTTAATAATACTTTGTGCCTATTTGAAAGTCTTTAAGAAAGTAGATCTTAAAAATCCTTATCACAAGAAAAATATTTTTTGTAACTACATACAGTGATGAATATTAACTAGAGGTAACATGGGATCATTTTGCAGTATATACAAATATTGAATCATTATGTTGTAGAACCAAAACTAATATAATATTATGTCAATTATACCTCAATAAAAATAAATAAAATAAAAATACTGTATTATTCTAAACATTAACAGAATGATTGTGTGAGCCTAAAAGCTAATACTGGTCATTGTCAACTAAAAGAAAAAAAACTACCAAAAAGTTAGTAAGCATAAATTATACTCTGATGATAACTCAGATTCTTCCTGGTAATTATTTTCCTGTAGGTATGTTCAAGCAAACATATATTCCCACTTACATCCTTATTTATATAAGCATACCTTCCTTTGGAGAGAAAAAAATGTAAAGAGGCTGCATATTAATGCCTCATACCAGAAAATATGAAAATTTTACCTCAATTATCTCTTCTCTCATTACTAACCTCTCCACTTCCCAAGGTCTCTTTTTCATTTAAGAAAATCTCCATTCTAATTAAGAAAATATACATATCAGAATCTATTAATGATTTATTGAATCCAATCTCCCTTTGTGTATGTCGTACTTCACAACAAAATGCCTTTTGTTTGTTTTTTCCTCCTCTCTTCTGTTATCTCTGGAATTACTGCCAACTATAAATCAATCATAAATCAAAAGAAAGGCCCTGTGAAATTACATTAGTCAACAAGGAAACGGTAATAGTTTGCCTTCAATTTTTCAGAGATTTATCTCTTAAGTAAAACAAGATATTCCAGTACAAAATAGTCCTTATTGACTGTAAACTTTGTAAAGACTCACTGGGCTGTAAGATGGGGCTTAAATGGTTTACAACAATCAAATATGGCTATGCTTCTTTAATAACCAGAAATTCACCATAAGTAAAGAATATAAAGTATAGCAACCGTTAGCCTAGAATGCTTGATTTTTATATAGTAATGCTTAATATTCATATATCAGATGTCTGCCCTAACTTCTCAGATTAGGTATAAATTCAACAGTCAGTAACAAAAAAAAATCTCATGACTTTGATAGTCACCAAAATGGTGGAAAACTAAAAACACCATATGACTGGTTAATGAGAGCTAAACAGAAAGATATTCACTCATTGCTGAGCAAGGTCATCAGGCCAAGGCACCAGAGCATCAAGACCCTAACACCAGGAAAGACAGGGCTGTGATGGAAATAATGAGAACAAAGCAAAATAACTAAGTAATTTCCCTCGTGCATTTTGTTTTGCAAATAATTATTTAAGAGGTTGAAATTAATATTCTCTCTCTCTCTCTCTCTCTCTCTCTCTCTCTCTCTCTCTCTCTCTCTCTCTCTCTCTCGTGTGTGTGTATGTGTAGAGAGACTGACAGACAGACACAGAGGAAAGGAGAAGACAGAGGAAGAAGGGAGAGAAAGAAGAGAAGCAAACTTGGATAAATCTGGAAGGTCAAAAACTGCAATCGAGGGAAGAAGCCATGTCTCACTCCTTTATCTTCCATACCACCTAGCACAGTACCTAAAATTCACTGAAAACCCAGAAAATGTGCTGAATAAATCACTGACGAGAAAATTCCTAATATGAACTCACAGTGGGGTAATTACACTTTCCTCTTAAAGGGGAGTGCCTTTGGTTAAATTCTATGTTATTTCTATGTTAACGAGTACACTTGCATATATACATTAATTTTTATTTCTTATGACTCTCCGATTATACATCCTAAAGGAGGAGTATAGCAAGTAGTAGTTATTTCCTTTTTCTTATTTCCTCCATCATTTCTGCCAGAAGGCTCTAAACATTGACTAGCCACTCAAAAGTAACCAACCTGGTAATTATTGATATAAGTAAGGCCTATTTTATGCTTTGTGGGTACATCAAAGCTACCAAAGTTTATATTCGAGTAACATGTAAAGATTTAAATCTACCAGTGATCTTTCTAAATATAGATCTGATCATCTCCATCCCTTTGCCTCTGAGATAATATTAAAATCCTTAATGCATTACACAAGGTCCCTGGTTCTCACTATTATCCCCAGGTCCTTAAGAGCAGGATCCTAGTGCTATATTCATCTGTGTAAGGTCACTGCCTACCATAAACCCTGCTTCCTAAAAAGTAATCAATGAATATTTGTTGAATAAATTACTGTAAAATGAATGAAATCTGTGACAAATCAATGTATCATTAAATGTAACTGTATATTGTCATATCTACATTTAACCATATTTGTTGCTTAAGTATTACAATTTTAAAACCATCTGACATGGTTCTAGGTTAAGCATTTCAAAAAACAATGACTATATGAGGATAAGCAAAAGCTTCTGATGTGTAGGAGGAAAAGTAGAAACCTGAGAGACGAGCTTATTTAAATAATAATGAGTCAGGACAAGTAAAAGAATAATTTTTAAAAATAAACATGAAAAGCAAACATGGGATTTCTATTTATAAATTAGATGGAAATAACACTTAAGTCATGTGTTCACTTAAAACAATAGATAAAAATATAGTCTAATTTTTAAATGTCAAGTTCACAGATAAAATGCATGATCTAAAAATTCTGATCAAGCTAAGTATTTCAGGAATTACATTAAAACAGTTTAAAAAGCAAAGTAGAACACGGATTAGTGTTCAGTAAAATAATTTTAAGATATATGTAAAGACTGTACATAATAATATTTTTAAAATTAATGTAAATCATCCTAAATTCTAGATAATTAAGCATGTTTTACATGTTTTTTTGTTGAAACATTCTATAAATACACTACCAGTAAAGCATTTTAAAGTCATACCTGCAAAAGAGTTGTTCTATGGAGCTTCAGTGCCCCCTTCTGGTGAATTTTAGCAAAGCATCCTGAACAATAATCTTCTCCACATTCAAGGCATACCTTAAAAGATATTTTAAAAATTATATAATCAATCTTATGACTTCAGAAAAATGTTTAAATAAAGATATCATTGCTATTATCTTTATCCAATTACATACTTAAATTTCATCAGAACTTAGTAATCCAAGGAAAACTAAACAACTATTTGTCCCAGTTAAGATTTAACTCTGAGAAAAACTGACCTGTAAACAAGTTACTCTTGTATCAAAATAAATATAATAGCTAGACTGAAGGTTTTAGATATATGTGTTAGATGTATATGTGTATGTGCAATTTCTGAATAAATCAGAAAACAATCAGCAGCATCAGGTCAAACGTCCTGACCTGAGAAAAACTAAACAGCATTATCTCTGAGTCAAAATTACTTCTTTTTTAGGAATTCTTTTATCTTTCTGTATGGATTTACAGGGCACAATTAGTTTCAAATGATATGTAAACTATTTGCCTCCAAAAGCCCCTATATATTTCCTTGATTAATATTTCTTCATTGATGATTCTCAAAATGTTGTTTTGAAAGTGTTCTCAGAAGTTCCTTCAAAGGAAAGAAAGTATAAGGAAAAAAACTGATGGAACTGCATCAAAATGTCACAATGTTTATGACTTGTGAAATAATTATGGACAAGATTATATTACCTTCCAAATTCTCTGTGGTATTAAGATATAAATTTTTTTAAAAAATTAGGAATAAATTGAATAATGCTGTGCATCTCATCCATTCATGATAGTACCAAGCAAAACTGAAAGTTAAAAGAAATGGAATTTTTAGTGCAAGCGAAATTACTACTGTGCAGTTGTATTGGTCAGTTCAGCAGCCTACAACATAACAAAAAGCAAGGCTCTTCTGCTTTGTACTGATCAACGGCAGACTGAAATGTGCAGTACGGTAATGCTTCTCAAACTGTAACATGCACATGAATCATCTGAGATTTCACTGCAATGCAGATTCTGGTTCAGGAAGTCTGACATGCTACCTGAGATGTTGCATTCTAACAAGCTCCCAGGTGATGCCCAGGAAGTAGCTGGTGCACAGACCACCCACTGAGTAACAAGGCACTAGAATGTATAGGACATAGAAAAGTAGACTAAATTCTTACTAAAAATCCAATAGACCTTAGCCCATTAATTTTTGAAAATCATTACATTATATTATAAGTCTCCAATAATGTAGCCCACTTTATTAGATATAAAATGATGACTACACTAAAAAAGTTAGAAGAGTGATAAATTTTATGTAACTATAATAAAACTAAAATGAAAGGCTAGAATCAAATAACAATATTCACCACATTTAGTGAGCACTTACTATTCTAAGGCTTCATATTTTTCATCTCATCTCATCTTCACAACAACCCTCTCAAGTTAGAATGATCAATGTATCTCCATTGTGAAGATGAGGTAACAAGAGACCGTAATAATTGGGAATTTGTCCAATAGTGCAGCTAATAGAGCCAGGATCTCAACCCCATAGTCTGAACCAAAGCTCAAGCTTTTACCCAGAACCTGTATTACTAATCATTAAATCTGTCGCTGACCATTAATTGCAGTACTAATCATTTATTGGGAAAAAAATAATAAAATCTGCATAAAATAAAATCCAATATTTCAAATGACGGCATGGTCTGGTATTTGTCGAAATCCAAATATAACTTTTCAAATGTGATTAGCTATATAGCACTGGATTTTTAAGTTAATCTGAAGAAAAATAAACACTATCACTAGTATGGATACTAGTCCTACCTTTTCAACTCTTGTCTCAAGAGCTAGTCTCTTAGAGAAATGGTAGTAAACACATTATCTAAATCCATAATTTTTCAAGTGCAAAATCAATTAAAAAGCTTTAATTTCACATACATAAATGGCAGTACTATTATATTAATGTAGATTTCAAAATGTATTCTGCATAATTTTTATTTAACATATCAGCTAATATTTTAATAAATTTCTTATAAATATTTGGCAGTGTTTCACAATGTAATATAGAAGACTAAAAATCAGTTTTAACACATAATTCTAAGCCAACTATTTGTTAACAACAGGTCTTTAATGAGAATAGCCAAACAGACGCTGTGGACTGGAAGATCAAAGCTGGAGTTGCAGAGTAAGTTTATGTATTTCATTATACAAGCGTATATGGATTTAAATTGGGCTAAAATGATCGCCAGGTGGAAAATCTTTTTAGGCAGTTTGTATAACTGGTAGGAACATACTAAAAACATAGATTAGGACTCCATTCCATCATAGATGCTTCTTCAATGACAGAATATCCAAATAAAGTTTTAGCAAACATTTTTTTATTTGATAAAGGCTAGATCAGTTGTACCTGCCTTCAGAACCCATTTGAGTTAAATTACCCACATTTGCCAAATTAATATACAATTTTTAACTGTGTATTTCACTTTTGCCATATAGAGACAGCATAAAACTACTGTAACTTCTTTTAAAAAATGTGAAATTTGGAAGTTTGGGATTTTATTTTTACCATTGGAACATAAGAAAATGTGCCAAAAACAAAAAACACACAATTTATGTGTCTCCTCTCAATATATCAGACACAATGCTAAATACTTCACATGCCTTAACTCTTTATCTTCAATAACTTTGAAGAATCTGGTATCCACATTAGTCCAATTTACAAATGAAAAAACAGAAATATAAAAAAAATTAAGTCATTTGTTAAAGGTCACATAGTTAATAACAGGTAAGTTGAGATTCAAATGCCCCAAAACACGAGGTCTTAACTCTTATCCCAACACACAATTTTTCCCTCATTTGGCCCTATCGTAAGATATAGGAAGGCTGACTCTAATTATCCAATCAGCATTATCATCTAGAGCAATGAAAGCTAAAAACAGAATAACCTCAGACTTTAACATGACCACAACCTACTTTGAAAGAAATGGTTCATTCAAAAACTATTTGTTGAGTACTTACTAAATACCAGGCACAATTCTAGTCAGTAGTACAGAGCAGTGAATAAAACAAAATCCCTACTCTCACAAAGTTCACATTATAGGTAGGTGGAAAAAATAAACAAATAAATATACATTAAAGGGTAATAACTCTGTGTAGATGAATGAAGCGGCTTTACAAAGTGCAACTGAGCTGTTGCCATTTTATAAAGAGTTGTCAGGGTAGGTAACATTTGAGATGACCTTTTTGATATGAGGAGCCCGTGGAGAGAGAAAGTTTGTTGGAGATAAATTGAAGTTTGGTTTTGAACATGGTAAGTTAGTGATTCCTGTTTGACATACAAGCAGAGGTATTAATTAGGCAGTTTGAGTTCAAAGTTCAGGGGAGAGGTAGGAGTTAGAGATGTAAATCTAAGAACCAATAAAGTAGAAATAGTCTTTAAAGCCAGGAGAGTGAACAAAATTACCTAAAGAGTAAGTATAGACAGACTAAAGAAGAGGTCTAAGGACTGAGCTCTGTGTCATTCCAATGTTAAGGAATCAAGAATACAGAAAACCAACAAAAAAAATTGAGAAGGGACAGCTAGCAAAGTAAAATGAAACCAAGACAGAACGGTATTTCAGAGGAAGCCAAGTGAAGAGTCATAAGAGAGGAGAGGAATACTGTATCAAATATTAGTGATAGATTAAGATAAGAACTGAGAATTGATCCCTGCATTTAAGAATGTGGGAGTCACTGGTGACCTTGATAGTTGTGCACAGCAGTGCCAACCTATTACTGAATGGAGAGGGTTAAAGAGAGAATAGGAATTTAGCAATTTCTCTTCTGGGTATATACCCAAAATAATTGAGAATGAAAACTTGGATAGATATAGTGTATTAATGTTCACAGCAGCATTATTCACAATAACCAAATGGTGGAAGCAACCCAGTGTCCATCAATGGATCAATGTATAAACAAAATGGGGAAAACATGTACAATGGAATAAAATTCACACTTAAAAAAGAAGGAAATTCTAATACATGTTACAACATGAATGAACTTTGAAGATATTATGCTAAGTGAAATAAGTGAAATAAGGACAATACTGTATACTGACAACAAAACAAATACTATATAGTTCCACTTATACGAGACACCTAGAGTTGTTGAATTCAGAGACAGAAAGTTGAATGGTGGTTGTCAAGGGCTAGCAGAGGAAGGAATGGGACTTATTGTTTACTGAGGACAGAATTTCAGTTCTGCAAGTTGAAAGAGTTCTGTAGATGGATGGTGATGATGGTTGCACAACAATGTGAATGTACTTAATGTCACTGATCTTTACACTTAAAAATATTTAAAATGTTAAATTTTATGTATATTATTCCACCACAGGAATGGTGCTTAATGCCACTGAACCATGCACTTAAAATGACTAAAATAGTAACTTAAATTGTGGTACGTTTCACCATAATTTTTTTTTTAAGTTGATGAAATTGGCACTGATGAAAAGTTAGAGAGTTGTCAGAAAGCATTATTTTTTATAGCTTTTTTTTTCAATCTCACTTCATAACTTTTAAGGAAAGAAAAAATAATTTGGTGGGGAGACTTGAACACAAATATCCACAAGAGTCTTAAACATAATATGAAAAAAACTGAAACAACCAAATGTCATTCAATGTGTGAATGAATAAACAAATTTTAGCATGTCTCTACAATGGAATACTACTCAGTAAAACAAACTATTGATAAATGTAACATGAATGAATGTCCACATGGAACAAAAGAAATCTTCCACATAAAAAATATGTACCATATCATTCCATTTCCATAAATTTCAAGAACAGAGATCACTACATGTATGGTGCTAAAAACCAGAACAATGGTCGCCTTTGTGGCGGAGACTAATTGGAAAAGGCACAAGGGATTTTATTATCTTGATGGGGATATAGACACTTGTCAAAAGGCGTCTAATTGTACATTTAAGATCTGTCCACTTCACAGTAAGTAAACTATTCCTCAATAAAAAGAGAGAAAGAACATTTTGACGGCAAGTACAGCCAACTCTATAGCAGTGTTACCAAAAGAGATACAGAGGGAAGGAAATGCAGGGGTCGAAGGAGATTGTTTGCTGTGGATTTGCTTTTGGTTTTAGATGGGAGACACTGCAGCATGTCTGTGTGCTGACAGGCACGATCCAATGCAGAGGATGAGAGTTACGGAGCTACCGTAAACAGGAATGAGAAGATGAGATTCAGTGTGTTGGTGGCCTTCCCCATATACTTCTGGGGAAGTATATGGCTACTAAAGCAGGTTAAGTTGGGAGGGGTGCCTGAGACCACATGAAGGTTCTTTGCCAATATCTTATTATACTATACGTACTAGCAAAGCAGCTTTGTTCTCACACTGTCCACAGATCTTCCCTTTTTTCCTGGGTTTTTCACTTTCAAAGGAATTTGCCATTTTATAATTAAGTGGCTGTTTCACTGTCCCTGGAAGGAAAAATCAGAGTAATTACTTTAAAATACGATGTTTAGTTTTCTGATTGATAAAGTAATGAAATTATGCATATTTCTAAATTCTCAAATAATATTTAAATATTAGTTGCCCAGTAAAAATGGCATGTAGCCAAGTCTAATCCTCCCTGTAGGCTGGGGATCCCACAGTCCCTCTCCTGTCCCCTGTGACCGCAGGGCCACACACATCTACCTATAGCCACTCTGCTTAAAACTCATTTCATCTAGACATATAAAATGTAATACAGAAAGTAATAGTTAAAAACTATGCTCTTGATAGAATTCTTATGGCATTCTGTCCCATCTCTGGATCAAACTGAAGCCCACAAAGACCATCTTCTATAATAAATGTTATATGTATTTCTAGAACTCGTTCTACCAAATTATCTTAACTATTCAAATTAAATATGTTTATCCTCTATAAAAAATCTTATTTCTTTTGGAATTATTATACATTCAAAATTGATTATGGTTTTTGCTATTGTCAAGATGTATTAAAATATAAAGGAATGTTTCAATATGCCCTTAATTTCCAAAAAGTTTCAATTTATAATTTTATAGTGCTAAATTCTCTTCCTGGTTAAAAGAGTTTATCAACAAACTCTAAGGACCAGTGCTATGAAAGTCCTCACCTTTGAAAAACACTACATTATAATCATATTTTAAATTGACATTTGTTTGACATGAAATGAGGCCCCTCCCCCCACAAAAATACATAAATAAAATGCATTTTGAATATCAGAGATAAAGAGTCATCATTTGGGGGGTTTAGAAACTTTATATTGCATGAACAATTCTAGCACTTTAATTTTCTATGTCATTCAAATGCAAAAGAAAAGAAATTGTATCTATAGAAGCTAATAATACAGTGGTAAACTGTTTACCTTGAAGCTGCTCCTTCAGTAATTTCAATTTCACTTTTCCAGCAGAAGGCTGTATTAATGAAATAGATACTATTTGTCAGGTATACATTCTCTTAGTCAAAGAAAGTTTAAGTTATTAACAAAAATATTTAGAAATCTATAACATTTTGGTGTACCTTGAACAAAACAAACATTTTGAAAGAATAATGTAAAATTAATAGATCATCATTAAAGCATACATAGATCTTTAAAATTCCTGTAAAGAAAATACTTGAAATATATAAAAAAGTTTTTTAAACATGCCATAAATTATTTATTTTTAAACAAAAATCATTATATATCATTATGAAATGATTTTAAGAAAGCACTACTATTCAAATATTGTAAAGGCTTTTCTATTTCTGATCTTTCTAAAAGACACAAAGTCTAAATTTGTGTAGACTGAATCTAAACTGAATTCTGACTAACCTTCTCTGCTTACATAACTACACAAGCCAATATTATTCTTATTTGCCTAATTTAGAGAACCAAGTGTTTAAGCATCATAGACTTACCCTTCAAATATGTTATTTGTGATCCCCAACTTTCCCAAGTTGTAGACAAAAAAAAAAATGTGTATATAAGACTCACTGCTAGGTATTTCAGATAAATAATCACTTAAAACACTTAGATCTTAAGATTTAAAAAAATTAAAACAGACTTGCCAATTGCATGTAACTGGCTTGGTCTTATTAAAACCAACATTCAAAGTACACAAACAAGCATGGAGGATGGTACAAATTTAGGCAGACACTGTCAATTCATGCCTAGTTTTCAATTTGCAATTTACATGTTCAATTGCCCAATTTGTACACGAGAATATGAGGACAATGGTTGCCTCTCTGTCTACAGCTGTACCAACTGCAGTCATCTGAAAAGTTAGGCCTAATTATTCTCAGTGAATCTAGTGGTTTTGCTTCAAAAGGGCATTTATTGTTCACATTCTTTTAAGTAGCCACTTAGATGCTATGTACCAAACAGCAGAAAAGAAAATAGCACTGAAGAAATCAAATTTTGGTGAATCACACTTTTATTTTTAAACTGGCAATGTTATACAAGTTATAGATAATTTAATCTCATTTTTCATAACCAAATTATCCAATATTATTACCTTAATAATACGCCTGAATTGCAACAAGATCTATGTGGTTATAGGTGACCTGGGTAGAATGGATTTTCCAAAGCAAACTGAACCCATTATTTAGGAAATTTTATAATTTGTTTTTATTATTATGAAGAGCATTTTTCTGCTAAATATAGTCAGATTTACTTCAAATGGTTCAAAGTGCATAAAAATATTTCAATGAACTAATAGCTAGCTTCTATTTTTAGGCAAATAGAATTACCTCCTAAGTCTAATTTTTATCTGTTTAGGAAAGAGTTGAGGGTGGAATAAGGCTGGACCAGGGACACACACACACACACACACACACAAAAACACACACAAACACATATCAATATATGTATACACACACACATATATATATATATGGGTATACACATACATGCATTATGCATATATATATATACTAAATGTATATGTATACTGAATTAAATGTGAATTCAGTATACTAAAGCCTATGCCTTATTAACCCACTTATTCCTACACCAGCAGAAGCTGAAGGGGTGCCATCAGGGGCCAAGGCAGCTTAGTGGCTCTACCACACAGACATATTATCTGGGCCACTGGGGTCAAACTATGCCATCATCATCACTCTCCCTGGCATTCACGGATGCCTCCAAATTCCCACCAATGCCCTCATCTGCCATGCAGGGCCCACACTCCTCCCATAAGCCACCACTTCAAATAGTCTCATTCTAAATCCAATTAGCTACTTAACCTTTGCCATTCTCTATTGCTTATCCTGCCATCCAGGCTCCTCTGCCATTCCATGGAGCCGTTATTAAATAGTCATTTAACTATCTTATGCCTTAAATCTCTCTTAAACATATGTCTTCCAAAAGTTCACGTTAACTGGACCTACCTTTCCTCAAACACAACCTCCTCCACAGAACTCTCCAGAGGAACTAGCTCCATTTCTACTCTCTTTCACTCACCAGGAAAGAAGAAAATTTTTCTCTCTGTTTGTTCCTCAGTGCTGCTTCCAGAAAATTGTTCTGTTCTTATCATTCAGCAAAATTGCCTCTACTGAAGGACCTCACCATCCACTTATTGCTTTTATCAGTATCTGGATCTTCTTCCACCCGAACTTCAGCAATCTGCTCAGTATTTCTCTCTATCATATTTCTGGGTGTGATCGTGGGGACTTCAATATCCATGTTCACCTGACATCCTGATGCTGAAAAACTCTCCAACATGCTGACTGCTATGAATACCTAAGTGCCTCTTCAGCCACCTGACCATTATGACAAAACCTTGAACCTAAGCAGCAATCTAAATGGCCACACCTTCAAAATCCCAAACTCAAAGACTTTCCCAGTACTAATCACAATCACCTTACCTCCTTCCTCCTAGACCTCCCATATCTATACCTACCATTGTGATGAAATAATATTAACTGAGTCCCCTACAAATAAATGCTGAACAACTCCAATGGGCTCTGATGGCTCTTCAGCAACCTATTTACTTGTTTGCTGCTAAACCTCGATCACGATTTCCACAGTGGCTGCTCCAAACCTTTTCCATTCCAAAGAATTCAAATTTACCCCATTTTCCTTCCTTAATCTGAGCAAATGATCTTGCCTTTAAATTTACTAAGAAAGTCAAAATTTTCCCTTTAAGAGTTTTCCACTGCTTCTTGCCTCATCTGTCAAATGAAACTTCTAAAATTTTTCCTTTATCACCATCGGTTCTCTCTTCCACCTTTCTGATCTCAGAGAAAGTGAGCCCTCCTTTTTTTGATTAAGGGCTTCTTAATGAGACCCCAACAATTGGCACCTCTTTCATTTGCATACCCAGTCTTTCCTCCACTAGTGAGTCTATCCCTCAGCTACAATCTGACTCACATTTTCTCCCTGACTCTAAAATAAAAATTAAAAAATAAAGTCCTTCCTTAATCCTGTTAAATCCTTGAGAGGTCACCTTCTGTTCTCACGTTCACTGCATCATCAGTCTACTCATTGCAACCCATCTTCCCTGTTCAATAACTGAAAAATATTTTTACGTCTAATAACCCAATCATCAAATCAAATGTAGTATTTCTAGAAATCCTCATTCTCCATAAGTAGACATTCTAATGTAATTTTCAGTTAATGTTACAATTGGTTTCACTCCTATTATCTCATACATTGCTGAAAACTGTGAAGTAGTTAAACAAGTATTGTTATCCATGTTTACAAACATGGTAACAGAAACTTGGAAAGGTTAAATGACTTGCCTAAAATCACAAAGCTAATGGAATGAGTGAGGAATTTAATCAATACAGTCTAACATAGGGTTTCTTGATCATGGCCAAGATAATTCTTTGTTGTGAGGCTGTCCAGTGCATTGTAGGATGTACAGCAGCATCTCTGACCTGTAGCCATTACATACCATTAGCAAAAACAAAAAAAAAAAGAAGCCTCTCAGTGATAATAACTAAAAATGTCTAGGGGGAAATTGTCCCCTATGGAGAAACACTGTACTCAAAACATTTTCCTCTACACAGTGTATCAGACAATGCTGACTTCATATTTTCTAAAAATATCCTTCTTTACTTCTTTTATGAAATTACCTTACTTTGATTCTACTCTTACCATTCTTTCTCTTCTCAGGCTCCCTTTACCTCAAAGCTGGCAAAGTACCTTAGAACCAGCATGAAAAGCTTTTCTTCCAAATCTTGGCCCTGACACTTGACCTTGAGCAAGTTATTTAACTCATTTGATGTAAAATTACTTCATCTGTGGAACTGGAATACTAAAAGGTGCCTTTTAAAAGTGTTGTAAATACTTAATGAAATAAAATAAGAACAGCAGCTTATACTGTTGACTAGTATAAAACAGATAGTGAGTAAATATTAAAGTTCTATGTGCCTCCATATTCCTTGAGTTTTATCCTTCACAGCTGCCTTTCCTGAACTTTTTTCTTTATACCTTTCTTCTCCTTTTTATAAATTCTTATCAAGTTCATTTACTCTCTCAGCTTCAACTAACACGAGAATTCAAATAAAACTCTCCTTGGAATTTGCTAAGAGGGTAGAACTTATATGTTCTCATACATACAACAGAAATATGTGAGGTAATGTATGTGTTAATTAACTCCATGTGGGAGGATCCTTTCACAATGTATACATTATCAAATCATTTTGTCCACTCTTTTACAATTTTGTCAATTATATCTCAGTAAAGCTGGGAAAAACAAAAAGAAAGGAAGAAAAGAAAGAGGATGGAAGGAAGGGAGGGAGGCAGAGAGGAAGAGAGGGAGGAAAGGAGAGAGGTCTAAATCTATACCCCGGAACTTTTTTTCTAACTTCCTTCTTTATTCTATCTCTTAGTCAATCAGGCCTGAAATATTAGTTATATATTTGACTTCCTCCTTTTGTTTCTGTTTTCCAGTTCCATATTTTCCGTTATATTTCTTCTGTTACATTCTAATTCAAACTCTTCTCATCTGACCTCTAGATTATTTTAATAGTCTTCTAAATAGTCCCCCTGTTTCTAGACCAGTGGCCTCCAAAGCTGCATGTATGCATGCCCTGAGTTCAAAGAAAGGCCAGAGAGTGCAAAAGAAATAACTATTAGTGTTTATAGTATCCTTGATTAATTTCCATACTTTGTTTTATGATGCATGTGATAGATTAGTAAACAAGTATATATATAAATTCTATTTGTAAATAAATAAAGAGTTCATGGGTAGAAAATCTATGCTCAAAATAAATTATTGATATTTATTGATATGATAGTTTGGATAGTATTCGCTCTATATTCATTAACTCCAAATGTACCAGATATTTGAACAAAATCGAACATCATAAGTCATCATCTTAGTCTTGCTATGCTCCTGCTCCAAAGCTGTCAGGGAATTCCATTCACCCAATGAAAAACTCGAGACTCCTGAATCTGGTATTCAGGGCCTTCCCTCCAGACCTAGTTTGCCTTCTACATCACCTTCCACATCTCCCCAAGCCCCCAAGTTTTCATCCTCCTACTCAATTATGAGGTTTGTGGGGACTGATATTATGATTTTTTCATTTATTTTTCCTTACAAATACTTCTAGTAGACTCTTAAATATTTGTAGAACTAAACCATTATTTCCAAAGCACAGACGGTTTATCTACTAAATAGTTATGGCAAAAATTACATACTGACTTTTTTATAAATATTTTCATATATGCATAACTTTTCACATTAGATTAGGATCTTCTTAAGAATAAGGGTAATTCACTAAATGACAAAGAAGGCACTTAAATGTTATTGAATAAATAAGTCAATAATCACAAGTCAGCATTTTTAATATATTTACAATAACATCTGAAACATGGAACACTATCTCAGAAAATAATAAAAAATAGAAAGTGGTCTATAAAACTTTTAATCCAAAAAATTAAAGAAACATATTTCAGTAAGAGAATGACATTTAAAGAATAAAATGCTTTTTCAAAGCCAAAAAGTTTAGAAGCACCAAGTAAGATGTTTATAGATGCCAAATGCCCATTGAAAGTTTAATGATAGGTATATAAAAAGGAAAAAGCTATATAACTTAAAACTTACAAGGTCACGGATCTTGTACTAAAGAATCCAGAAGCAAAACAGTTTTCTTTAAAGAAAGACACTTATTTAGTTTCAATGGCACATATAATGTAATGTTATATTTCACAATACATAGTAAAGATAAAGCAATTCTATAGCTGGGAAACCTGTAAGTTGATATCTTCACACATGGAATCAACAATATTTGAATAATAATTATTATTTAAGAAGAACATAAACACATTAAACAAATGTGATATAATAAAAATGCAGAATTAAAATCTGTCCTTTGTTACGTCAAATAACAGCTTTCACCTTAACACAGAACTATATAGTTCTATCTCACATACTTGAAACTAGAACTGAACTGAATGGAAAAAATTGGCTTAAGACAATTCAGCTTAAGGTGAATTTCTAAAAATTAACTTGCAGATGAAAAACAAAAACATACCTGAATAATGAAAGTTGTATATAACCTATAAAATTTAATTTAATCAAAATCCAATAACATGCAAAGTTGTTAAAATAAGAGTAATAAGTTCTTAAGTATAGAAGGGAATGCAAGATCTGAAAAAATAATTTATATCTTCTTGCTTAGCAAATCATCTGAGAATCAAATAGTATTTTCTTACCTTAATAACATTTCCTTTATTTTGTGACATTAGATGTGATTGATTATCCAATTTGCCCACTTTTCCAGATTTCCAGTGATATCCACTTGACCTTCAATACATATAAACAGAAGACAAAATGTAATTACTAAATACATATCTCCTTTTAATGAAAACAAATGTATTTTTCCTGTTTCAGGAAATGGAAATTCAGTTGTTAACATGTAACAGATACAAAATGAAAATGAAATATCAATAATGCCACAATGTCCTCAGTAATTCTAAAATATAGCTCTACCATATTTGGAACTTTTGAGAGGAAATGAATAAAAGTGAAATGTCCAAACAGATGAAGAATGCCACTGTTCAGATATTTATAATGACTACAGTTTTACTGATTTATAGGAAAATTTTATAGATTGTCCTACAGTTTTTAAAGCTAAGGTTCTGTAAATCTAAAGAGAAAAAGGAAGCAAAACAATAACCAAAAATATTCAGCAAATCTACTAAGTGATCAATTCCTTAAGCCTTCCAGCGAGCCTCCACATTGAAAGGTAACAGAGACTACAAGGAAGGCAAACTGTTTAGTTTCATAGTTTAGTTTTCAAAGCATTTTTATTTGAGCCTCACAAATTTTTTTTAAGTCAACAGGGCAGGGAGTCCAATTCCCATTTAAAAAATAATGAGACAAAAACTTGCACAAGGTCACATATAATATATAACAAAGCCAAGATGAGAACACTGCACTTCTAACTTCCTAACCAGTGAGTGGCAGGTTTTCACCTGGCCATGACATTTACTGTCTACATGACCTTAGAATAGCATTTAACTATTCTGAAAATTCAATCAAGCTTTAGAACATTTTTTAAAATTATATGGAAAAGGTTCCTCGGCTAAGGAAAATGCATTCTTGGGGTCTGATTTCAGAAACTCTGATTCACAGACATGTTCGTCATCCGCTGAGAAGTTCAAAGCAGTGAAGGTTGAAAAGTAGAACTGACCATTGGATCATTAAGGGAAGAATAGCAAGATATACAATAAACTTTGTCATCTGGGATAACATACAACACTGAGGTGCCGTAATTAAACCGATGCTTTGGTTATTGAAGAAGATGTGTGTATGTGTCATGAATATTTTCAAAAAGTTAGATTCTAAAGATAAATACTACTGAAACTGTAGTAAACTTTTGAATTTTCTTTAATAGTTCATAAGGTACTTCATAGATATTTGATGATCACCACCTTGAGCACCAAACAAAAGCAAATTTAATATACAAAGAAGCTGGGAATATTTAGTACCAGCAAGAGCACATAAAACATTCACTCCACAGGAGAAAGTTACACGATTTTGAAGCCTGTTTGAAAAACAATTTCTCCAATGTCTACCAAAATGTAAACTATTTATATACTTTGGCCTAAAATTATATAGGTAAAACTTTATCCCATAGATACTCTTGTATATATAAGCAAAAAAATATATACAGAAGCATTTCATAGCAGCATATATTATCACAAAATACTAAAAACTTCATAAAGACCCAAAAAATAAATGCTATTATATCCACACAAAGAAATACTATGTAACCATTAAAAGAATGAGATCAATGGGTGCTGATGTGGCAACAGCACTAAGACAATATTAAGTAAAAAAGTAGAGTCTGAATCAATTCACATATTTCATCGATAACCTCATTTATAAAAACATAAAAGACATGTCAGACACACACACACATTCACACATATATATATATAGGCTTGTACAATGATAAGACATTTGGGGGGCGGAATATTAAAAGTGGTGCTACAAAATGGACTGGAAGGCAGCCTACAGCTAAAAAGAGATAACTATCATTATACAACTATCAGTTCTATTTGACTTTTATCATATATATTTAATAATTCTATAACAAATCCAAATTCTCAGTAAAATTAGTACAGATATGCAAGCATAATATTAGGGTATTCTCATTAATAAAATTTCAGCTAAAGCTCATTCGCTAAAAATATTTCAAACATACTTGAGAGTCTGAATGATTCTTATATATGTACATGTAAACTCCTGACCTCAAAAGTCTTTTAATAAATAAAAATGACTCTAAACATAAACAGGCAATCTCCTGTTGATAGCAATTTTAGGAGAGCAAAGGGCAAATTCTGAATTGCTGTTCTAAGCATTCCAGACTATAAATAGTTCAGAATAACGTAAAAAGAGAAATGAGAAAATGTAAGAGCAAATAAAGTTCAGAGGAAACAAAAGTAACAGTAATTTTTAAAAAGCAGCATGCCTTATATAAGAAATAGAAAAGACAGGGAAAATTTAATATTGCTAATTCTTCAGGAAAAGACAGATTATCCATTCAGGACAGATCTTTATAGGAATGACAGCATATAAAATAGTTCTTTATATAATTTTATTTATTCCTCTGAAATTCTCTAAAAGTGTCACCTACACTCCTTCTTCCTTTTCTTTGCTCCTTGTTGACTGGAATTCTTGTAGTTTCTTCTCCATCTCTTGGTTCTCCAACTCTAATTGTACTTTCTCCATTCTTAGTTCTTGAACATTTCTGAATAAGATTTAAATGCAGAATGGTCATTTGGGGTAAACAAACAAACAAAAACAAGGCAAAGTAATTTTATATCATCTTTTTTTCTTAAGTAAAATTATGAATAATAAATAGCAATGAAGTATTTTAACTACTTCTTTTGTATTTCTTTGATCTATGGTTTCTAAAGTTAGTATCTGCCTTCCTTTAATATTCTTAAAAAAGGTATCTTCATATCTTAGGCTTTTGTTTTTCCTATTATATTGCTAGAGGTTTCAAATTATAATTCACTTTATATGAGAGCAATGTCTTTAACATATGTGCAAATATCTATAACACACCAATAGAAAACAATTGTCATACTTTCTTTTTGTCATACTTTCTAATTGTCCTACTTTCTAATTGTCATACTTTCTTTCCTCTAAGGATTCAAGTAGTTTGAAGCATAATATCTCAAATGACTTTTTTCTGTATAGGTAGAATATACATTTTTGCTAACCAATCACTTTGGAAATGCTCAATAAATTTCTACCTTTATAGGCAAAGGTAGAATCCAAAAAATACGCACAAAAAAAGAGCAGGGCCTGCTTGAGGCTTACTAGAGAGAAAGTACCTATTAAGGGTTTTGGTGTAGACACCATCAAAAGAATTAAATGAGAACTGAGCCAAGCCCTACTTATCATTTCCTCTGAAGGAAAGCCCTAAAAAGAGACCTTTTTGAGGACAGAGCACAGTCCCCTTTATAGATTCTTTTGCAAGAGATTTTGCTCATAATATCTGAAGCTCATCAAGCTTTCGATGCAAGTCATTTTCTTCATTTTACAATTCTAGTCTCCAGTCAGCATTAGTCACTAACTCCTTCTTTCATAGGTCTAAGTCAACTTAGTTCCCTAGCTTTTTATTATCTACTATGAGTTTAATTCTCCTTTTTCATTATTTCATTAGTGGTTTACTATAATCATGTAGTGTGCACTCATGCATGCTATGGCAAGGAACCAAAATAAGAATAATGGAGATCAGAAAAGAGAACTAATTTATAGAGATGGTGAACAGTCACCAAAGAGCAAGTGGGCCAAAGATATGGCCTGAAATAGACACAACTTATGAAGATATACTGAAAGTGATAGGAGACAAAGGCTGTCCAGAGAAACTGGCAAAAATGCTGAGGGAGAGGCAATATTTTCATTATATCTGCTCCACAGAGAATAATTCAGCCCCTACTACACATAAGCATTGTAATAGGTGATAGGATATGAAACCCAGTGGAGATTGCAGTAGAGAGAGGAACACAGAGAAGCACAAAGGTAATTGAAACACAGTATGATGGTGTTATTGGAGCTGTACAGGGAGGTAGGTACCTAAGCACACAGAAAGGCACATACTTGGCCCCTGGAACAGATCCTGGAGAAAGTGAAGTCTGAGCTGAGCCCTGAGGGATGAAAGGACTTAATCAGTTAAAGGGAGGTGGTTACATCAGTGTTCCAGGAAGATGGAAAAGTGTGTGCACGATTAGAAAAGAATGATGTGTGGGCCAAGGAACTAGAAGTTCTGCATGATCAGGCAGAACGTAAGTGCAGGATGGGAAAAGTGGTAGGAAATGGAACTGTTGAGGTAGACAGTGGCAAGATTATGAAGGCCATGATGAGGAACTGGGATTTGTATTCTATGAGCAATAAGAATCATTAAAGGGTTTTAACAGAATTGATCAGGTTTGCATTTTAGAAAGATCGCTCTGTCTGTATAATGAAAAATTAATTAGAGGGTACAAGGCTAGAAGCAAGGCAGCCAGTTAGGAAACTATTTCAGCAATCTTAAAAATAGAGACATTGTGCTGATCTAACTGGATAAAGACATCAGAGAGGAAACTGGAAGCATTTGAGAAATATAAGGAAATAGAATTAATTGGACTAAGTCTGACCAGAAGCAGGCGACTGACTAGGGCAGGAACAAGGCAGAAATCTGAGATAATTCCAAGTTTCTTACTTGAGTGACCAGGAGGCCAGTGATGCTTTTCCTGAACTAGATCACTCTGGGATGGGATGGGGACACAGTACAGAATTAGTGCCTGAGCTGGTCTCTCTGCCCAAGTTCTCAAGGGCCTACACCACCTTCCATGTGGCTTCCACAGGAAGGGTTCAAAAGGACAGATGTGACTGTGTCACTAATTTGCTTAGAAAACTTAATGTTTTTGATGTCTCCACTGTGGCAGAGGAAACAGATGAGACTGGTTAAAAGAACTGGACTAGTGCCCAAGTGGTCAAGTTTATGGTGGGAGTTTATGGGTCTGGAACAAGACAAAGGATTCCTCTTAGGGACAGTCTTGGACACAGAGCCAGAAGGGCAGACAAGGCCACTATGGTTAATCCTGCAGAGATCATGTCAATACAACAAATCCAAGGTCCAGGAACAATCTATTGAAATGGGTTGGGGGCTGGGAAAAAGATAGTGAGGAACTGGAAAACACCATAAAGTCAGACAATGAAAAGACAATTGTTAAGACAATGTCAAATAAAAATAGGCTTGGAACAAGGAAAGGCTGAGAAAAAGAACTCCAGAGCAGTTACCATAGGGTGGATGTTACTGCCCTAGTTTTTATGGGTGGTAGATCAGTTAGATATACAAGACAGGAAAAAGTGATTCCCCCTCAACTCCAAGATAAATTCCAAACTCTTTAGTGTGGTATATAAATTAATTTATTACCTATACAGCCCTGCCTTCCTCTCCAACTTCATTCTATAAAATATAGCCAACTGGATAGGTCTGACAGTCCCCAAACTATATGGTCTCTGTGCCTTTGCCCAAGTTTCACCCAGTAACTATCCTACTAACTATATTTCAGGCAAAGCTTAGAGACCTCCCAACCATACCCCAGAAGTTTGGGCCATGTTTTCATAGCCCCCTGTGCCTTCACATCACATCATGTTTCACACTATATTATAAATGTAATTTTACTTATTTACATCCTTTACAAACTACCTGAGGGCAAAGATCATAATTTCCTGTTTTTATATCCGCCATTCCCCAGCTCAGTATGTAGAACATGTATGTATTTAATAAATGTTTGTTGGATGCATGTTTCTAAGTATATACACACAGACTTGAAACATATTACCAAAATCAAATAATGCATGTCCCCTTCTCTTATTGCATTAAAAAAAAAAAATGGAAAATTGGTAATACTAGCAATTGGATATCTCACCTCTTCTCCAAAAAAAATGGTAAACCTTATCATGATAATGCCATAAAGTTGTATAACATTTCCAATTTACACGATGCTTTTATACACAGTATATCAAACATAAAGGGAGAATTAGGAAAGCTCTGTAGACATTGAATAACCACAGGACTCTTGATCTGGATCAGGGAACTCAGAAACTAAAATTAAAAATCAACCGTCTGTCCCCAACCTATGCTGGCTGGCTCTCTGTGATATTTGAGAGGAAAGCCTTGGGAATTGCCAATGACTCTGTATGACCTCAAAAGCAAACTGTATATTGAACGTTCTGGTACCCTTGCCATGTCATGAAATTCTCAGGATACCCAGAACTGCTTGGCTTTGACTGAATGCATCTACCAGACAACCTAGGACAGAAGGTACTCTTCCTGGGAAAGGTAAATTCAACATAACATCTTTTACTCTGCAAAGTGTGAGGGCAGTTAGTATTTTCTATTCCCAGTCTAAAGGTCACTTACCCTAATAGTCTCCCTAAAATTCAGTTTCTTCAGGATAATTCTGTTGTAATTTTGTCACAAAAGTATTTGTGACTTTCTGTCATATTGTTTTAATAGTTAGTATGCCCAACTTTCATTTATAACTTTTTACTTCAATTCTTATGGCATAAATATTTTTAGTCCTTATATTTTAATATCTTAAAACTACTCTCTTACAGATAAAAATACAGCTGTGAAGAACATGAATATAAGAATTCACAAAATTTGAGTTCAACTCTAAACAGCCACATGTAAAAAGAATACTTTAAATTACAATATACAAAACAATTACTTCTATTTAAGTAATAAAGATGTATACACTTACTTATATTTTAACTTCACAGAATGTCCAGGTTTTCCCCATGGAAGAACTACAAAATCTTTGGTGTTCATGATTACTGTCTTAATATTGTCTAAGAATTATTGTGATTTGTGGAAACTTCTGAAAAAGTAACAAAGACAAAAGAATTATGCTAGAAGTAAAGGAGTTAACTTAAAATTTTGAAATTACATATAACTCAAGAATATTTTAAAAAGAGAAATCATTATGAGGGAAAAGCCTAAATCAAAAGTTAGACAATAAAAAATTATTATATATGTTTAATTACAAGTTATATAACTTGACATACTAAGAGAGTTATAAATATAATACATCTTATGGAAATAAAATTTTACCAATAATTATGTGGCAAAAAAAAACTGTGGAAATATTCAACTGATAGTAAAGAATGCATTCATAAAGGCAAAACACATTCTGGCTCTTTCTATGTTAAGGTTATAAAAATATATATCAGGTATTTGTTCCCATCCAAAAATAACATCTAAGGCTAAACATAGTGAAAAGAAAAGAACCTTCAAGATACAATCCAAACTTAAAAACCTCTTTTTTACATATATGGTAATATAAAATGAGAATTAAGGTATGTAATAATTACCCAAAGGCATTCTAATATCCTCATTTATCAAAGAAAATTTTAATGGTGCTCTTTGCCTAAGATTGGAAATTAGCATATTTAGAAGAATTTTTCAACAAGAAATGAAACAAAAAAGATTTTCTGCTTAACTCCAAGTTAACCAGAAAATTAAATTATTCAGAACACCCTATTTCCTGAGTATCCTAATTATTCATTGTTCTATAATAATTTATTCTGTAATGCTGAATTACTGAATCACATGCAAAACTATTAGACTGTATATGAATAAAAATTTACAAATTCCAAATACCCTTAAAGAAATATGAGGTAATATCATAGTCTTTAGTTTTAAATGCCCAAACCATTTGATACTATTTATTTATATATGTGTTCCTACACGCTCATAACTCCTATAAATATTTATTAAGGCTCTGCTATGTGCAAGGCACTGCGCTGAGAAGCATGAAAGAGTCAAGGCCCAAGGATATTTGTTTTCTGAGTTCACATGGCATAGAGTCAAATAGGATATATAAGATCTATATATAAAAGCTATAAAACAAGGTAGAAATTATAAGGGCCATAAAACTTACTGATGTAATAATAGAAGAAGTGAGAAAAGAGAATTTAAGCTGGCTAACATTTAAAATAGGACTTTAAGGAGAAGCTGGACTTACATATGATGATATGGATTGGATGAACATTCCACACTGTAAGAAAAAACAGCTCTTGAATGGGGACTGATGAGTGGTTCCATCTGGTTGATGTATACATTATATGGAGGGGAAAAAGTAGTCATTAAGTTTAGAAGTGTAGGCTGAAGCCCAATAACGGGTAGCTTTAAATGCCAACTTAAAGATTTTGGAATTTATTCTATTGCTAATGAGAGTCACTGAAAGTTTTAGAGGAAAGAACAGAAAATAAGTCTAGAACCTTTGCTCGAAGACATAAGGAGAGAAGGTATCAGAATAGGAATAACCTAATGAAAGCCTGCTGTGACATTAAAGTCTACACAATCAAATGACTATTCTATCTCATAATTTTAATGATGCAACCACTGATCAAAACATTTTTGGGATGCCTCTTTCGGAACTGCCTGCAGAGTCCATCATACTCCCAATAAATACACAAATCTACTTTGGTGTGCTTCATTTAAAACTACAACTGATATCGTCCAGCAGAATGGATTACTTTGTTCACTCATATCTAGTTCCAAATTATTCTACCTCCAAAAATGAAATCTAGAATGAAAGAGTAGATTTTTACTACCTTGGAGGAAATTGTGAAGGAATTCATTCTCTGAAGATAACTCCAAAATGGAATTTCATAAAATAATTTTCTATTGTAAGCAATGTAATGGTTGCATCATAGGACTAAGTATATTTGTGCCTTCAATCAACAGACATAAATATGGTTGCTCCTTTGCGACCCCTATTATAGGTACTGAACTCATAATGGTAAATAAGACATAGTGTCTTCTCTCAATTCACAATCAAAGGGAAAGTCACACCAACAATGGCAATGCCTTGTGATATTCCAACAGAAGTACATAGTGGGGACATCCAACTCAGATTCATTTCTCAACTACCAAGTCCTGTCTCTCAAAGCTAAACTCAGTGTCAAAGAAAACTAAAGGTACCCCAGGAATAGAAAACTAGGATTGTTTGCTTTTGGAGAGAGAGGATGCATCTATTCCTTCTCTGTAGGTAACTCTTGTGTCTCATTTTTATCAAACAGAGGCAACAAAAGCTACCTTTAAAAAATCTCTAAGATAACCTTGCTTCTATAACATAGAGTCTATATTCTTTTTTTTATCATAATCAGGAAATCCAACTGTTGGACCCTAGTCTACTGTCGATAAGTTATTCATGAAAAGTTATATAATGTTGTCATAACCATTATCATTAAAAAAATAAAAGAACCACCAAAGTTAGTGTGACCAATTAAAATAATTTAAATTGCCTTAATTTTATTTACACATTGAAATATATATATATATATGCATAAAGCTGATCTGACACACAAAGACTGAAATCAAAGAAAAGTCTGTGAATTTCATTAGGTTGAGATGATTCAGATTTATAGCTCTGTTGATAATGTGATTTAACCAATAAATGGTCTTATTCAGGGGGCACTTCACTTCACTGAATGCAATTAGTAAGGCTTCTTCTCAATTAAATGTTTTATCAAGTCACACACGTAAGCCAATTTTCTTGTATGAAGAAAAAAGGAAAATTATAATTGTGAGTCATGCTGTTCTGCCTGTTTCTTTTTGTAAAACCAACAGAGAATTAATCACTTTTCTTGGGACAGCTATATATAACAATGTCAGCAGAAAGAATAGCAAAGCACAAAACTTTAGTCACCTAATGGAACCAGGGAAATACAGATAAAATCCCTATTATGCAGACCTCATACCTCCACCCATCCTTTGGTCACCCAATTTTTTTCTTACAATGAAATACCAAAAGTTCAGTTGTTACTTGGAAAATTTTTTAGTTGCTTGATTAGGCTGTTATCATTTTTCTGTCCCTAACCTTGTTCCTCCCCACCCACCACCCCCCCACACACACACACACAATGTGACCCAAAATTGTCTATGATGGTTTGATGATCTTTCTACAAGTTCTCAGTCTGGGAATGCAACCCAAGCACCAAGGCCTGCTGCCACAGAATAGAAACAAGGAAATTACAATGAGCTACAAATCTAGAAACTCAGAGAATTCATCAAGAGTTGCCCTGGTGTCTTAGAGAATTTACCATCATACAATGAGAAGAATGGGAGGTATGGAGAAACCACTGTCTTCAAGATAGGCCACTTTTTATAACTGAAAACTTATCTAAGGTTAGTCGATTCTTCTAATGACCTAGATCATCTTAGATCTGAAAACTTAAAGGCCAATAAATAAAGATTTTTCTTTACTTTAGGACATATTTTAAGAGTCTAATAAGTAAGCTCTTTCAGATGGATTAGAATATCTACCGTAGTATCTAAAAATCAGAAAACCAAGCAAGAAATGTTAAATGAAAATAAATCTAAATAAAAATAGTAGTTTTAAACTTTTAAAAGAATTGTTCTTTTAATATTTTATCTATCTGATATTATCCTATTCTAAATATACATATTTTAAGTCTTTTTTAAAAATCTAAGGAAAGGACGTATAATACATAATCCCTAGCACAATATCTTGTGTTTGAGTAGCCCCGTAAATAAATGTATGCTATCTTTTCCTAGCACAAGCCCTGAAAGGAACTCAGGTATTGATTTCCAAGTTGCACTCAATCTCTCAGCCAACCTACCTATCTGATAATTAAACACTGCTTCAGGGCACTAAATGGTACCCAAGTCACCCATTTTTTACATTTTATGTGCAGGTTCCCTTGAGAACAACTGAGAAAGTTGCCTTCAGATATCAAGGAAGAGGGCAGTCTTAGAAACTACCTTGAGAAGGGAACAAGGGAATCGTCAAAGGCTCTGCTTTACCCACAGCTCCTCAATTTCATCTATTTTACATAATGAGCCTCTGGGTCAGATTTAATATAAAGAAATTTTTCTATAGCTTAAAAAAAGTTTCAAAGGCACTACAGTAAAACAATGCACAATTATTAAATTTGTATCAACTAAAAATTTTAGATGATTATAAATAGCAATGAAAGTATTAAATTTATAAATTATACCTTTCAGAAACCTAAGTCTTTTCATATATTTAATCTATCCCACCTATTCTCATACAATCCACTATTATTCTAGGTGCTCGTTTGTGAATACCTTAAGAATGGGGAAATTATGGCATCTATCCAAGACTGGTAACAAAGCCAGAAATTAGAATTTTATTCTCAGTCCTGTTAGCTCCTCTTAAGACTTGAAATCTAAATGTGGTTGCTTCTAGATACTTAAAATAATTAATTCATATCATTTAGATTCTTTCCTCTTTCATACTCTTAACCTGTTATAAAAAAAAAATAGAAAAATAACTGTTGCTGACATCAAATGTTTTCTAAATTTTACAGTAATACACTTAAACGCCAATAATAATCTCTTTGGTGTCAGATTGCTCCCATGTAATATGAGGTCAGAAGTTCGTGTCCCTAAATAGTTCCCCATACCCACAGGAAATAAATACCCAGCTGCTCTGCTTGGTACAGAAAATCCTCCATTATGCATCCCAAGCTTCCTGAGCCTTATGCTTTATTTTTCACTTTGCTCGTCATGTTTTATTCTATCCAATGCCCAGTTTGAGGGCCATCTACACCATGAAGATTTCTTCCATCAAAAGCGAACTTCTCCTTCTATAGGAACATTCTGTGTATTACACTCATTTGCCATTACATGCTGTTTTGTGTTATTTTTGTTGCTTTGCTTATATAGGTGTAGTGTCCTCAAATATCTCAAATATTTGAGGCCAATCCTACCATTGATCTTTGAATTCCCAGCAATTAATAAAGGGGCCTAGACATAATGTGCCGCCAATAATAATGTGCTAAGTTTTAAGCATTTAATTTTTTTCTACTGCTTTGAATTTATTGCACAATAAAAAAATTTTTAAACAAACGCATTACCCTCTTTCCTACTTTAACAAATCTTGTTTTCTTTTTTTTCCATATATCCTACCAGACTTTCAACGAATGTACATAGAACACTTCTTCTGTGCCAGGTATTAGGTTAAACACTGAGGAACAAGGTACACCTCACAGATACAGTGCCAATCCTCAGTAAACCTACACTCTGCTGAAGAAAGTAGGAAAAAATTAAAAAGCAAATAAAATAATTGTGGTAAGTATTAAGTGCTTTGAAGGAAATAAAGGACAGAGTTACTTTCAAGTAATTAATTTGTAATACAACTGGCAATATTATGGTAGTTCGGGGCAGGCCTCTATGTAGCCTTCAAGATAAGGTGCTAGAGGGGGGTGAAAGGTTTCGTTTTTTGCTTTTTTTTTTTTTTTTTCCATTTTTTATTAGCATACAGTTTGCATAGTTTTAATCCTGTGAAGCTTCAACTTTATGACTTTTTTTTGAGACTTGATTTGAGATTTGATTCAAACTCTCGATTTGAAAAGTCAGGGTACAAAAGAAATACATAACGACCTGTATATCTGAGCACTTCTAATGCTGATTTGGGAAAGAAGGAAAAAGTTCCACAGTTTCAGATTTCTCAGAAATCTGGCACTCCTCTCTGCGACCTTTGCTTGGGAGGAGTGCACTTACTTCTAGAATGAAGTGGGTGCATGTGGCCGCCCAGGCATAAAGAGGGCTACAAAAAGAGATGTGATAATGTTTTTTCAGGGCACCAAATTTTTCATAAGGCGCAAATAACTTCAGAGGATAAAAGAGGCTGGCATTTGAAAAGGTCAGGTTGTAGAAGCGGTACAATTCTGCAGGCCCGGTTTCCGCTTGGTTCAGGCCTCCATTAGCACTATGGGCCAAGAAGTCTTGTGTTTACAGAAAAGATTTTCAACTCCTTAGGTCAAGGCCGCGTCTTGCAGCCCGCGGGCCCTATACGGTGTCCGGCACATGGCAGGGGCTCGCCAAACACCAGCGAACCCGGCGCCCAGTCTCCTTTCCCGCCAACCCACCCCCCTTCTCTCACCGCCCAGACCCGGCGCTCTGCCTCGGTAGGCCTACTCCGCGGTCTCTCATCTGCCGCTGCCATCCGCAACCAGCCGACCTACCTGGAGACCCCAGCCAGCCGCGTCACCGCCGCGGGCCGCAAGTAGCCGCCCGGAGCTTCCGCCTTGGCTCCTTGGTTACCGCGTTACCTCGGTACCCATAGCAACCAGAACTCTTGGTCCTGGCGCTGTCAGCCCGCAGAGGGAGCAAGAGAGCCCTACCAAGAGATGGGGCGAGGGAAGGAGGGAAAGGTCTGGGAAAGTCAGCAGGCCATGGAAGCTTTCTGCTGAAGTAATACTTGGCTAACTCTTACTGAGCCCCTACTTTATTCCAAGCACTATTCTAGGAGTTTTATTTGTAATATTTAATTCATTCTCATAACAGCCCAATTTATTTCTAAGAATATAAATATAAATTTATATTTTGCAGTCAGTCGGTCAAAAACCTGTTGTGTTTATCCGCATTGAATCTCTCTTGTTACTGGACTTATAATCTCATTGTTATAGTTAAGATACTAACCTTAACTATAACCTTAACCTTGAACCACTATTTTCCACACTAATGTACCTACCAATACTCATTTAAGAACTCATTTAATATTTTTCCTTGGCAGATTCAATTGGACAAGATTATAACCAGCATGGATAAGAAAAGACAATGATAGTCTGTGACCACGACTCTGGACTTTGAAATTAAGGCAGACCTGAGTTTGAGTCCTAGTCTTGCCATAATTCACTGGATGTATGACCTTGAGCAAGTTATAAAACCCAGTTTAATTGGTAACACTACATTTAGTCCATACATGATGTAACATGGAAGAGTAAATGAAACAATGTATATTAAGTCTTCAGCACAAAACTAGGCCCATAGTAGATACTTAATAAATGATTAAAAATGATGGTGGCGGTATGGCTACAGTAGTTGTTATCTTAGTGCTCATGGTATAAATTCACCAAATCTTTTCTTTAAATCTAATACAATGACAAGTTTCAAGTGGATGTATAATACTACTAGAAGTTTCTTGCGCAGGACTGTTTCCCAGATAGCTGTGCTCTTCAAATTACCAAGAAAGGTTATTTTGGGCATGCATCCATTCATTCATTTATGCATTCACTCATTCATTCATTTATTCAATAAATATTTATTGAGACTCCACTGTTGTGAAACTTATATTTTAATGGGGGAGAAAGACAATAAACAAACATAAATATATGTCAAGTGCTTTAAAGACAGCAGAATAGAAAAATAGAAAATAATTAAGAGTTCAAATTTAGGTTAGCTGGTCAGTGAAACCTCAATGCGTGAAGAAAGAAAGACATGGGGCAATCAGGGCAAGGAACATTCCAGACGAAGGACAACAAACAAACCTCACGTCAGTCTGAATCATGAGTGATATTTTACATAAAACCTCTTATCACTTCTGTGCAGCACTTTTTTACTTCAGGAAAGTGCATTTACTGGTGCAATAGTAAAATTAAACTCATAAAAATAACATATATTGTGGCACTTTTCAAAAGTATTAAAAGGACATTATCTTATATTTAGAAAAATATCTTAGCTCATTCAGTTATGCAAAACAAAGCAGAGCCAAAAAATAACCCATGCCATGTTACATAGTAAAATGAAAAATATGAAGGGTTTATCTTTCAGAACCATGATTAGTGACAGAGTAAAATGAAACATACAAAAACAATGACACCTCTAGAGAGGCAATATCTTGAAGCAGAGCGCATTTAACTGACATACCAGCAATTTTGCAAATAGTTTACCACATCTATATCAGAAGCGCAGTATTCCTGAGGGTTTTTGCAAGTTCATGCTTCATTGTGCCACTGAGAAGACAAGATTTGAACGCCAGTTTTCTGAACTAGGAATATTCAATTTAAAGAGATAAAAATTACCCACAAGGAAGGAATCGAGAACACAGACTTATTGAATTCAAGGGATAGCTTCAAGGTCATGCTTAAAAAGATACATTCTCTCTCTCTCTCTCTCTCTCTCTCTCTCTCTCTCTCTCTCTCTCTCTCTCACACACACACACACACACACACACACACACACAC